GWGCCTTTTTCTCGTAACTGTCTTTTATAAAAGCAAGGAAAATGGGATAGATATTAATCTATCACGACTTTACAAAAGTAGCTGTTACAATGACATTTGTAATTGTTAGTCTGAGCAGAAGACGTGGAGATAAATAGAATTGTTAAGACAGGAAAGGAACTGACTAAAGAGGATATAATACTATGTTGTGCTGAAGGATAATTACAGGCTTGGAGTAAGATTACCCATCTTGAAAGATCTGTAAGTGGGAATGATCTTATTAAATATTTGCATTAATAATATGCACCCAAAAGTTTGTGTTTGCTAATGAAATTTGGAGGTGATGAAGTTGGCAGCCAACATTTAATCAGTGAAGAATGGGACTCAGGCTAAAAAAGGAAGCCTAGCATAACAGAAATGGGATGGAAGCAAACAGAATAAAATTATAAACCTGGTCTTCCCGAATCAGAGAAGTGACAGAGCAGAATGACTTGGGTGTTTATAATCTGTTGTGGACAAACATTTAGTATAGGTGTGAAAAAGGCAAGTGAGATCCCCTTCTAAATAAAGTCTTGGCTGGTAGTCCTGGTAATTATTATTATTTCACTAAAGGTTGGTAAGACTTAATCTAAAATCTGGGCCATTTTTTGCTGAAGAAAGGTTTATTCCAACCAGAAAAAAGAAATAGTACACAGATTAATGACCTGGTGAACCCAGAGGAAGAACTACAGCAGACCCAAGTGTACTGGTTCTACTGTTCAAAGMAGAGATGAGCTCAGTGTGTACCTTTGCTCCCTTTTGGACCTTTTGGCCCCTTGCACCCTTTGGACTCTGCATCCACTTCTTGTGCACACACCAAGTTGAAGAGAGGAGGATGGAGTGCACCTCATGCACAGYCAGACTGAAACTGGGAGTGCTCCCAGTTCCACCCCACTTGCATGCAGCGTTGGAAATTGCCCTCATACCACTACGTCTGAGATAGAACAAGCCTGATGCTAAAGCAGCTGCAGGAGCTAGTGATGCAAAATAGGTAGCAGGAAAAAATATGTTGAAACTTAAACTTTACTACTGTGTGATATGTTCCAAAGGAGATTTAAATCTTTAAAAAACAGGTAAAATGAGCTATGAAGGTGTGTATTTGTGACAATCTCTAGCAATTTGATTAGGAAGTTACAAAAGCTGCTATCATGAGGAGCAGGGAGAGGCCTTGTCTTCCCCTAGAACTTGGCATTCTTGCATAAACAGAATACCAAACTGTGAAGTGTTTCTGTAATATTTAKTTTCAGTCTGAAGAGTTTGTAACATGACAGACACTGTCAAAATGCAGGGTTGGACCAACCCAAACAGGCCCTTCTCAGTGAAAGAGATGCATTTTTTTAGCTCTAGGGAAGAGATACTATGACAACAGCCAGCTAACAATACAACACAGAGCCTTTAAATACTAAGTAAACACTACATTTGGAATGGCATTGTGTTTTCAGAGACACTATGAAGCAAACCTGCCCAGCCCACTCAAAAAAAAAAAAAAATCCAAGGAGCTGGGGCTGATATATCTATTGCCATTAAAAGATGTCCAATATAGTCTATGGCRTGGCATCCTTTACCTGCTAACCTAGAAAGATGGGCACCCCTGCCAAAGCCATGTTCCTATCACTGTGAAATCCTTTTAACATTGATTTAGTCAGAAGACTTTGTTCCCAGTTCCCGCAGCAATTGGCTATTCCCCAAGTTTCTTCTGTCACAAAATAACCAAACCTAACTTCATTCAACTTATGCACTTTGTTTGAAAAATGTTTAACCTTTCAGTGCTGGTGAGCCTCAAGGCTGGAATGAATTTCTGTGGTTGTACCAGGACATGGAATTAAATACTTGGTGTATATATCCACTGCCCCTTTTAGTCTTGTCACTGTATCTTGGATTATAATACAAGAGTGATGTCCTAAGTCTTCGAGTCTGAAGCAACTTCATCATGSAAAACCACTCATTAAAAAAAATCCTAAACACCTATCCTTTAGCTCCCACAGCATTCACTGCTTTGATAGCTAAAACTCTTCTCATTTCCCCATTAAATTTATCATGATTCCTTTGGTTTAAATGGTGGTGGATTTTTTTCTCAGTGACATTTACCTCCATTTACTTACAAAGCAATCATATCCCCTCTCATTTACTGTTTTGTTTGGCTCAACTGCCAAGATTTTGCACCAAGTGTATCAGACACTTCCTGAAGCAAGACCTTTTCAGATACACCAGCTGTAGAGTGCAAGTTCCATCATATTTGAACACTGATACCACCCTTCAGAGAAGATGCTCACAGGTTCATAGGAAGGCCAGCAGGCAGCTCMTGTAGTTGTTTAGTATCAGGGGCAGAGGGCTGTGCTGTCTGCACTGGAGAATTCAAACCCTGCCAACAAGCACAGTGAGCCTTCACACCACCAGCAAATGGAGCTCTGAAAGCGCACACGAAATTGTTTTTCAATGGGATTTTTTTTCTTCCTAGATACTGATGTGTGAGTGACAGCCTCAGTTTACTGCTACAGCACCCAGTGTATTCTCCTATACATTGCAAAGAATGACAGACAAGAATTTGAATACTTGATGACTAACCTAGCAATACCTGACTGTTTTCTGAAGCAAATTACAGCCCATTTCCCAGCCAACAGTGGAATATCACTAACACCCTACTATCTTGCCTGGCCCCACTGAGATTTTTAAATACAATATTCCCTTTCCTGACTTCAACTCTACCTACTGTCAGGCTCCATTAGGCATAACAAGATCCAGACAGATTCAAGATTAAGCAACTTTTTTATAAAATCCAATTGAGGACTTTCTTACCTTGAGGGTGCAGCAGATATTACATTAACCAGATTGTGCACACTTTCCATGCAAGGACTAAAGGCATATATATATATATATATATATATATATATATATATATATATATATGTATGCAGAGTGACTTAATTCTCTTAGGAAATAAGCGGGGGCTTTCTAGATTCCTCCCACCATAGACATCATGATCAAGCTCAGCTAATTGAGACCTTGTGGGGAAAAGGGTGTTCCTCAGCAAGGCCTTATTTTTCCAGAAGCAATACGGGAGTGCCGCTGTCTAGCGTAGGAAGTCTGTGCAGATCATTAAGGCAGTAATAGTCACATGGAGAGAGGGGAACCAGGTTTAAAAGCTCCTTACTGGCTAGGCTACATCTTCAGCTTCCAGAGAGACTGCAGTCCCTGAGTGGTGGAACCAAGAAGGAGAAATCCCCCTTCAGACATCCTCCCCCTGCCCATAGGTACCAGGGAATGGGACAGAGACACCCCCAGTGCTGTCTGGTGAGTTTGTCAGCAAGATACCTTCAGGGCTGTGCAGCTGAGAGCAGAGGCTGCCTTTATGTCTGAAAGAGAKTGTGTCCTCTGTTTGCTGTGGGAGAATGGAGGTGCAGACTCACTGAAAGGCAGGAGTGCCGGGCATGTTTGGGGGCACTGCGTGGAACACGGCTTGTATTTGGTGTCTTTGGTGCATGTGGTGGAGGGACTGATGGGTGGGACGAGGAGGAGGCAGCAGCACAGCTGCGCACCAGAGCGATCCCGTGGGCTGCACTGCAAGGGAAAACAGCAGCTGCTCATAGGGCACCAGGGTATGACTACAGACTTACAGCACGGATGGCATGGAGTGCCAAAGAGAAGAGAGAAAGGTSCTGGGTGGTGTGTTTGAAAGTGATGAGGGCAGGAAATCACAGAGTAACCAAAAGAGAACGTATGAGCTGCATGGTCCAAGCACCCAGGTGCCCTGGGACAAGTGCAGCTACCACCCAAATACTTCACCTGGATGAGGGCTTTAGGATCYAAGTCATAGCTTGGATGTTGGAGCTTGAACCAAGAGTTTTCTGTGAAGGCATAAAATCTGTAGATTGTCAATAGCTGTCTTACTAGCATCTTTTTAGTCTGTGGCCTAAAGAGAAGAGGGGAGCATGCCAACATGTGAACTTTAACTCTGAAGTGGTATTTCACATTCCAAGTTTGCAGAGAAGGCTGGTATTCTTTATGAACTCTGACTAGCACCTCCTTGTGTATTAAAATGTATGTAATACTGTTTTATCAGCCCTAGCAGAGTGAATAAGAATGGTATGCTGTAACACCTTCGAGAATCTTCTGTGATTTGACCTGCTCTCACTGATCCAGGCAGAAGGGAAGCAATGTAATGTTGGGGAGGGAGAGMTGGTTTCTGACTTCGTGGTCAAATTTTATTCTCTTAACTAACACTGAATATAGAGTTACTGTTCACAGACGTAAAAAAGATAAAACCATTCTGCAGCTGTATTGAGCCAATTTCTGGCACCAATCACTGTTCTGCCAGATAATTCTTCACCCATTTTATATGTGAAAGAGTCGGGTTYCATTTGGAATAGCAGCAAATAGTTAATGTCCTACAGATACCTCAACCTGACAACTGAATTCTACCATGAAAGAAAAAGCTGGGCATCCATCAGTCCTGGCATAGGAGCATTAGCAGTGTCCAGCTCTGTCTGCCATCCAGCCTGCATCCCACCGGGTTCTGATGTCAAAAGCCAAAATCTGCTGTTTAACTAAAGCCACACTAGCGGACAGGGGAGTTCAGCCGAGAAAGAAGGGAAGTGGGCAATCTAAGCAGGCTCTACCTGTTGCCTGCTAACGGCGCTTTCAGCTTGCCGGACCGSGGATGCGTGTTCTGCCTGGCGGGACGGAGCCGCTCCGAGCGCGCCGTAGCCTGCGGCAGGACGGAGCCGACCCGTGTAACTCGGCGGGGAACCGGGGGCTGTGCGGGGCTCGGGGCTGTGCGGGGCTCCCGGCAGTGCGGGCTCCGAGCGGTGCGGGCTCCCGGCCGTGCGGGGCGCGGGTCGGAGCTGGCGGTGCCGGGGAGGCTCCAGGTGCGGCCGCTCCCCGCGGAGGAAGGCGCGGGCAGCCCCGCTCCCCGGGGGCGCCCCGGCGGGCGCGGGCTCCGCGGTCCCCCCTCTCCCGCCTCATTTGCATGGCTCTTATTACGGCCGTGCCTCGCTCCCGCCGCGCTGACACCGCCGGGCTGAGCGCGGAGTCGCCTCCAGCGGGAAGCGCACTTCCGTTATCTGTGCGCCCGCGCCCCCTCCTCAGCTCGCTCTCTCTGGATGTTTAAGGCGAGGATGAACAAACAGATCCAGCCCGAGCGCAAAGTGTCGGTGGTGGCCCCCTTGCCGGACCGCGCGGGGCCGCCGCCGCCGCCGAAGAAGGACGTGGAGCTGATCCTGGTGAAGGAGCACAACGGGGTGCAGTACACCAGCAGCAGCCTCCTGCCCGCCGCCCCCGCGCCGCGCTACGGCACCCAGGACAGGGAGACCTGGGGCAAGAAGATTGACTTCCTCCTCTCCGTCATCGGCTTCGCCGTGGACCTGGCCAACGTCTGGCGATTTCCATACCTCTGCTACAAAAATGGAGGGGGTAAGAGCACCGCTTGCGAGGTCTTTTTTTTCCCCGGCCCCATACCCCCGGTGGCATCCCCCTCTTCTTCGCGGAGTTTCTGGGGGAAAGCCGAGAGCCGGGGCTCACCCCGCGGTGCCCGGGCGCGGTGCCGGGTGGCGAAGGGAGGAGAGGCGGCACCGCCGCGCTGCCCCAGCGCTCCCCGCTCCTCCCTTCGCCTCCCGGGCAGCGGGGACCCGCCGCGGCCCCACAGCACCCGGGGCACCGCTCAGCCCCTTCCCGGCAACTGCTCGCACACCCCTCGAAGTTTAACTTAGTTTTTTGAGTGCAGGATTATTTGCCTTCTGCTGCCACTCCAGGCTGCTTAACGCTTCTTTTCGTTCGCAAAAAAATAGCACCAAAGGGGGAAAAAAGAAAAGCCCAAACCGAAACCTTCAAGCAGAGAAAGAGCATCTAGAAGAGCTACAGCCAAACCACTGAAAGGTTTCGTGGGGGCAGTTTTGATGTGGGATCGGGATTTCTGCCCTCTGCTCTGCAGTGCGGGGGTTCTCCCCTCCTCCAAAGTAGGTAGGAGACTTGTTACAAACAAAACCTCACCTCCTGCACAGTTTGGCAATGACAGCAACACAAAATTACACACAGTAACTATAGTTGGCTCAAATTGTCTGGCATGTCTTCAGTAAAACCTTAACTGCGACATCCTCTTTGATCTCCCTGAAGTACGCTGTGTTGTCAGTGATGACTCCAGGCTGTGATGGAGTAACACCATCTGCAAGCCGGGCAGGTGCCTGGGGTGCTTTCAGATCACACATAGAAAGAGCAGACCCTGCCTGGCATATGGAGAACTGTGTGTGAACGGTGAAGMACACAGATAGAAATGATAGATAGAAAGCATGTTCTATAGGATATGTATGTAGCAATAGCGTGGTTGCCTGGTGATAAAGGCTAATGGTTCACACTTGTAGCATAAAATAATTGCTTCCTGTGAAAACAGGAATGCAGAATGGATGGGAAAGTCCCTATCAAATAACATGGAATTATACCTGTCCTTGGAACTTMGTAGAGTACTGGTACTAATGAAACACTCGGTCAAGTTTGGTACCTACAAAASTTGTGAGAGGAGTCAGAAAACCTCTCTGCTCACCACCCAGACAGGCTGAAGAAAGTAGTTAGTATTGAAAAATAACCTCCATCCTTATTTCGTTATGTCCAAAAATAGTCCCAGCCACTCACACCACAGCAGCACAATGCATCACGAACGCAGCAGGCTCCCGCYGTGTCAGGTGCAGGCGTGGCAGCAGCATCATTCATGCCACTCAGGACAGATGCACCATTGCCACATCTCCCGCTCATCTGGCGATTTTTAGGGAAAGAGATATATTTCCCTATCTCACATTGCACAAGGTGACACCCAGAGTACCTGAACTCTTTTCTGTTGTGATTTGGGTCGCTTCATTTCCTAACCTGCTTCCTTTATGATTTACTGCCAACTGAGGCACAGATGTAACACTCTGCAACTCTCTTGCATTTTGTTTYGCCACCTTGTATGATCTCATGTCAGTTCAGCTAGAGAAACCTGGGTCTTCATTAGCACCTTCTGATTCAAATGATTCCAAATGGCAGTGAAGAGAAACCCAACACAAATACAAGAGGCGCCTTTCAGTGAAAAGTTTGCAGTCATTCTTCAATATCATCGAAGTAAAATCAGACCTTTGCAAGCAAAGGTAGAGAGGTCCTATGATATCAAAGACTATAGAAAGACTGAGAGCTGTTACTGATACACAGAAATCAATCAGTCTGGTATCTTAAAAATTTTCCATCCATTGCCTCTCCTGTTTGATACTTATATCAGGTTTAGTCGGTAGAAACTCTTGTAAGAGATTCAGGCTCTGAGAGTGCTTTACTGAATTTCAAACCAACTCAGTCTCTTTCTTTCACACTGTTTGCTTGCTTTGGGAATTTACTTGTTTTATGAGTAAATGTTCCTACAAGACCAAAAAACATGAGMCAATGGGCAGTTGGGCAGAGCTGTGAGATATCGCTGGATTTTATCGATATCTTTCCAGTCATAAATCACAGATAAATATCTTTTTTTCACCCACACTGCTATTGCATGAGGGAACCTTTCTAGCACTGATTCAACTTCTGCTGCCTCAAAAGGATAATACAATGGGTTTCATATAATTGTTATGTATCCCCATGCAGAAGTTGCTGTATATCAACATGGGAAAATGCTTTATTTCACTTAGTAGTTTTCCTGGACTGCTGAGCAAATTAAAGGGATTAAAACAGAAGGTGTTTTTATACTTGTATAGCACCTTCAGGCTTACCCTATTAAAAAAATTTACAGGATCCTCATAATAGGATTACAGTTTTGCCTTTTGATATTTATAAGGAACTAAAAGAAAACACCAACACATCAGATTAAACTTGAATTGGATGRTATGTATAAAATAAAGCAGTGGAAGGTAAAATGTTTCCTTTCCTCTTCCTCCTGCAGTTTCTCTTTATCCTGAAAGCCTCAGCAATTACTCAGCCTCAGTGATTTAACTAGGGCTGACTTTAGACAGTCGAATGTGTGGGTTATGAACATGTAYTTCTTCAACAGATTGATACAAGATACTCGGTGAAATGGAAGCACATTGCAATGCCCTGAGTCCTGGGTCAGCATAGCTTGTGCTACCTACCAAAAAGAAATTCTACTGTCCTACCAAAAGCTACACACACAAAGGTTCTACAGATGTTCTTAGCAGTTGAATGACAACATCAAGGACAGGGAAGTGGTAGAAAATGGCATCTCCCTTTACACTGGAAAAAAATTAGATGTTTGACACGTGGACTAAGTCTTAAAGCTATGATTCATTCAAGATGCCTGCAGACACACTAAGGGCCTTTCCATGTCTTTCCATGTAAAAGTAGGTGGCTCTCAAGAAAGCATGGAAAACTTACAAGATCTCAGAAGGAAAGTGTAAATACACACTGTATTCCCCCATTCAAAGTTCAATTTTACATGGACATGGATGTCTGTACACCTCCTTTTCTCCAAGTTCTTGAGTTTCTTTCTTTGATAAACTCTAGGGAAATTTTCTAGAAAAAAACAGACATAAAGGCTTTTGGGTTAGATCTCCAGGTTCCACCTATATAAAACTCTTATAGYTTACTTTAGTGAGTTTTACTTACACAAGGCATACACCACCCAGTGGCAGCTATACAGACTTTTTTTGTTTGATTACTTTGGAGACAGCACTGGTGGTGTTAACAGAAAGAAACAATTATATTTTAAGAAGCTCCCAGTAACAAAAAAACTAGAGAGTAGGAAGCATTCAGCAGAACTAAAACACTGAATGAATAGCCAGAAACATCTGTGTTTTGGGAGTAGCCTGCTGAGAGACCCCAATGGGACTTCTGCACAAAGATAGATGGCAGAATGTAACCCTTCCGTAAACAACTGTAATTTTTGGAATCATTCTCCTGCTATTAAAAAAATCTCCAGTCTTTAGTAAGATCTAAAAATCCAGATCATTTATTTTTCTATGTCAGTTACCTACTTTCATAGGACTTGCCTGCCTTACAAGGGCAGAGACAGATCCAGTGGCTGTAATATGAAACGGGCCACAGAAAGCTTACAGGACAGYTCAGTATGAACTGACTGGATGAGTTCTTGCCCTCACTGACTTCTTCAAAGCAGGATATGTCCACTGCATGCCCTAAAGTATTTATCAGGTGATAGGGCAGGCTGTGTACAGATGGGAAAAATCTGCAATCTCCCCTTGAGCAGAAAAGGCAACACTCCAAAAGGGGGAGTTCTCAAACATCACYTTGTCAGTCCAGCTGATCAGAAAAGACCACAACTTACATATGTTTGACTGCTGCTCACAGCACAAAGGAAAAGCACTGTTTGCAGCATATGGAATACTCTTCGTGCAGTGCATTTGTGAGAGTTGCGAGGATTAGGGCTTGTCACTGGAGAAATCATCAACTGTGGTAATTTCTACTGGCTAATCTTACAAGACCTATATCCTCATTATAACTTACTTCTGGCAAGAGCACCTTTTTTT